GGGGCGCTGGGGCAGGGCAGTGCCCTCCTGGCATTAGCTGGGGCTGTGCTCAGGAGCAAAGGGAACAGTTTCAAGGGGAGCTTAGTGTCCTCTTAAGTCCTTCGTGTTGGTGCCACATGACGTACCACAGCAGTTCTGAACCCCTGGCCTTGAATCTAAAGAAGGTCTTAAAAATGTCTCAGGGTAATATTCCCCAATTGACTTTGACTACAACCTAGCTACCAAAAACAGAATTTGTGTTAACAGCTTCTCAAGACAGAACAGAGAAAGACAACTACTCCTGACCTTGACACCATTCCTCATTTTCAGTTCCCAAGGCTTTGTGTGCATATAGATTACAACATGATTTAGGTGGGTCTTTGCTAAGTGAGAAATTCAATCTGGGCCCTGACCATTGCTTCACTCAGTTTAATTCATTCCAGAGGCAAAAGGTGGAGGTAGAGTAGAAGGTGGTGGTGGCGGCAGTGGGAAATCCATGAACAACGTGAGATTTACTCAAAAACATTGCTGCCCCAGAGCCATCCACAGAGCTCCAGGCCCTGGTTTCAGTGTTACTGAAGGCCCCACTCAGTGCCAGGAGGTTAGTAACAAGCCACTGGACCGCTTCCTAACCTTCACCTCCAGGTATATCCAGATTTAGAGACTGGTCTGATTCGGGTTTTGTGGGGCCTGAGAAATGTACACATTTTGAGGGCATTATTTAAAAAATATAATACAAAAACTGTCTTTTACAAAAACTTTCTATACCACAGAACACACTGCTCGGGTCCCAAGATCCTTCCAGGGTCTTGGAAGGGGCCTGTGTAAACAAGGGAGCCTGAAGCATAAGTTTTATTAACTTTACAAGTGAATCTTCTGCTTGGAAGGTATGTCCAGCTCTTCTGCCCAGTACCAAAGAACACATATCTGGCACGAGTAAAGACTATGGAAAAGACAATGGAAAAGGGATTATCACATGGTAGGTGTAATTGATTAAGACAGAAAGTTCTGGGTCTTATTTGATTGGTGTTTGAACCACCTGTGGGGCACCACCCTAGGAACTGAGCATGGGCTGAAGCCAAGTTCTCTCTGTTAGGTGCAAAACTGTTGAGGGAAAGGCCCATGTCTTTGTCTTCGTTCACCCAAATGGCTACCCAAGAAATGGTGTCAATGAATGTCAGCTGCACGAAGAGCTGGATGACTACGAATGAGCAAATGTGTAAATAAATTCACACTGTCATTCCAGATGGAGGCTTATTGTTGTTTAACTTCTCCAAAGGATCATGAAAGTGTTTGGGGCTATGTACAGAGAGGCTTCATCTAAATTTATTAGTGAGACATGGACAACAAGATTCCACCAAAAGACTACTAAAGTCACCCTTCTAACTGGATAAACAAGATGATTCCAGGCATAATTAAGAACATTAGACTATATTTTAAAGTGCACATTCTTTAAAAGGACAGGCTTTTTCTTTTAGTTTCAGCAGGGGTTGTTCTCATATCCCCAGCACAAGCTAGACAATGTGTTATTTGATCTGCTTCTTCACCTCCTCCTCTGGTTTGGTTACCTTCATTTGACCTTTTACATTCTTTTTACCCTGGAAAATACATTTAAAACTGTAGGTCCTAGATGAGGTATAGTATATCAGAGTTCATAGCAAAAATCAAAGCTGAGTCAGGGGCATTCTCTTTTGAGGAAATGAATATCCTTGCATGTGGTGAACTCTCACTTATACTTCCTATATTCTGGTAGGGGTTAGCGGGTGCAGTGTAAAACCAGAATCAATGGCTAGAGGGGGTGTTGCCCATATGTTTGGTTTGTTTTGAATTAGATGGGGGTAGGTTTGCATAAGGAATATGTTAGACATGCTGGGGTTGTCCTGGGTTAGGAAGGACATGGTTTTGATTTAACTTTTGTTCTCATGACCTTGAGGGTAAATCTGAAGTGGTGTCAAGTAGATGAGAGGGTCTAAATTCAAAGCCAAGAAGCTTTGGTTCAGTCTCAATTTCATCTCTAATTGGTCTTGAGATTGTCAGCAAGATACACAATCTTCTCCCCCACCACTTTAATCTGCAAAAGAGACCAATATGCCTATACAATGTTGCCCTGGCTATGAATCTCAAAACATTGTTCATGAAAGGTCTTAGAAAGGTGTAGAGTGACTTGTGAGTTGAGCATCTATGATTCCATTACATAATGACATAACACTACAATCTTCTCATTTTAAAGGTAAGAAAGAAGACAGTTTTTAGTGGAAAATTCAATGTTCTTTCCACCATATGAGGAAATATTATCAATATTATTAACTTGTAATAGAAACAGCACTAGAAATATGAAGTAATCCAATCCCTTTGTTGTTCAGGTTCATTTCAATGTGAAAAGTGTACAAAACAAACAAACAAAAAACCAGTCAAATATATAAACACAGATAATTTTGGGCCAAGAAGACACTGATCCTTGAGGTTAAACTGCTGAACTGCTAGCCATAAGTGACCCAGTGAGGGGCAGATGACATAGATGCTCAATGTGGAAGACAATGGCTGCCATTCTCTGGACATTATAGTCATATGAATATAGGTGTCCTGAAATACTAGCATGACATTCTTTTTAAAGACAGAAGTAGCTGATTGGAATTCCAATGAATTAAATCAAGAATTTCTATCCCAGTAATGTGATGGAGTTATCTTTTTCCTTCCAGAGGATGGAGATGCTTCAAAACAGGGCCAGACAGTAAATATTTTATGTTTTGTGGACCATGTGGTTTCTGGTTCAACAACTCAACACTGACCTTGTCGTGCAAAAGCAGCCACAGACAACTGTTTAAAAAAAGCGGGGGATCAGCTGTGTTTCAATTTTATTTACAGAACTGTCATGGACTATATTTGGTTCAAAGGCCATAGTTTGCTGACTTTCTGCTTTACATTATCATAAAGATACCACCAAATTCTGGACTTCCTCACATCTCCTGGTCCTACACACTGTATTGCTGACCTCAGTTTTTAATGCAACCTCAATTCTATGGCTAAAAAAACATACATGCCAAACCCTGGAGAAATCATCAAGCCAAGTAGTCATTTGGGCAGATACTTCTAATTCAAAATATAGCTATCTAAAACCATGCACTGCTCAAAATTCTTTATAAAATAAAGCATTGTTTAAAATACAATATCCAACTTTTAAAAATAAGCCAGTATTCCCCAGGGCACAACTACTTACTGATGCTCTGATAGGAAAGAAGGAAGAGTACTGAATTTTGCCATGGATAATGTGCACTTTTTTACTGAAATTTTTGAGGGAAAAATAAAGATGCACATTATACATGGGAGTACATTGTATATGGCAAAATTCAGTACTTCCTAATCCCTACAAATGCTTTGTGAAAACAGCAACCCAGTGCTGACTGCCTATTTATAAATGATCAAATTTGCCTTTTGATTTCCCATAACATAAGTCAGCTCATTGCCAAAGTTCATTGTTGTCCTATGTCAAAAATCGTCTGTCAGTCCAACTTATCCTCTTTGTGATTCCCTCTTTGACTCTAGCATGTCTATAAATGTAGGAAAACACTGTCTGATGACTACAGAAGATAATTTTAAAAGACCCTCACCTAGGATATGTTTATTAATTTTAGAGAGAGAGGAAGGTAGATGAGAGAGACAGAAGAAAGGAAGAAACATTGATGTGAGAAACATCAGTTGGTTGCCTCCCATACACACCCCAAAGGGGGATCAAATCCGCAGTGTTTGAGTTCTTGGGATGATGCTCCAACCAACTGAGCAACCAAGCCAAGGCAGTAGTTTTTATCTCTGGATATCCACTTGCCTGTACTTTATTAAATAACTCACTCTCAACTTTGGAGTTTCCACCCTTTACTGTGTGGAACAGGCTAGAATGAAACTGAAGGTGAAACTAACTTTTATTCCTAGTACTACTTCTAAAAATGCAGGTTTTGAAACACCTTGTTGGTTTAAAGTGGAGTTCCCCTAGACCTGAGCTGAGAAATGCTTTTGTCCTTGGTCAAGTTACTCAACCTCTTTGAGATCCTGAACTTTAGTTTCTCCATCAAAAAAAATGGGTTAATATTTACTTCTTAGGATTGCTTTACAGTGAATAGCAAACAGTAAATATTCAATCAGTGATAGCTTTGGAAACATTTTGCATATCCTCCTGTATACCTGAAATTTTATTTGGAATTTGCTCTCTTCTGAGAGAAGTTATTGTTTGTTTTACTCTCACATATTTTCCAATGAACTGCCTGTGAGTGTAAAGTGAGTGCATACATGCCTAGAAGGCATGTAAGGGGAAAGGTCTCCAAACAGGAAAGATGAATGGTAGGAAAACTGGTTGAACAAAAAGAAACTGCAATCCCCAGAGTAGTTCTTGGTCACCAAATTCATTTGGTGTATTTTCTTTTGGAAAAAGGAGCCTTCAGGCATGGGGCAAGCAAGCAGCACATACGCTTCTTGAGAGTAGACTTTTTCAGTTCATCTACCAGTGCCTGGAACTGCTCTTAGCACTTGGTGACTGTGCAATTAATACCTGTTTTCTCAGCTAATAACTCAGCATTCTTAGGTATATTTCTTTTTTTGTATTAACCGTGAGAACCTCCTAGAGCTTGGTATAGGAAAGGGACAGCGATTCTAGGGAGAAGGACAAGGATGACACCATTTACAAACTACTTACCTTCAAGTAAGCAGTTTATGAAATGATCATGCAAATTCCCCAATATAAAAATTGATCTGAAATAGGTCAGGAGAAAGTCCAATACCTACTCTAGGCCAGTGTCTGGCAGGTGCTGTACCTTGATGTCATCCCAAGATTTCCTTTCCTTTCATTTTTTTTTTTTGAAAGAAAAAATCCCACTATTGCTCAGAACTTATGGAGTGTCAGCATGGTGCTGGGTACAATGGAGTAAATAGGAGTTATGTTTCCCCAGAAGGTCTCTACGTCTCCCCATGGTTTTCTATAAAATGAATGAGTAAGAGAAGAGTAGGATTGATGCCAAATATAGTTCACGTACCTGAAAACATCATCATATGTTGGAAGTTCCAGGGGAGTTTATGCTTCCGGCCCAGATTCAGGAGGAAGGAGAGGGGATATATGTTGCAGGCTCTGGCAACAAAAATTGCTAGCTGTAGATAAGCGCAGGAAGACATTGAGGAAAACGTGCTACAATGAGGGTGTGAGTCTTGGACCTTTAAATTTTATGTTCCGTAATTTCTCTATATTATGACCCAGAAAACAGGGATAAACATGTCAATACATGCATGTCTAACTTGCTTCCAAAATTCATCTTTACATGCCAATTCTTTTCCAGAAATAATAGAGAACTCTGCATTTCTTTGAATATATATTTGGCTTACAGTTGTTAACCCAATACCATTTCAATCACTGTAAATTTTCTCATCACATTTCCTTCACTGATGACTAACTTTATGTTCAATTCTGCTGCAAAACGGGAGGCAGAGAGCATGCAGAGGCTATGGCATTATCTTCTCAAGCAGTACTTTAGAAAGGATAAATGTACTTTGGCTCCTGATTACTATCTCACTTTCCATCACTTTATACTCCCTATGTCTAGTAAGCTTCACTTATTTTATTTTATTTTTTTGGTGCATTTAATTTTGGAGGAATTGCCTATCTAAATGTCTAATATGATGAACACTTTAAGAGGCATTTTATTAAATCCATACTTTAAAGGTTAAAATTTATGACAATATTGGTGGTAGTCATCTCTCCCTTTTTGCTGTTTTGGACTCCTTCCCTGATAGTTTACTTCAGTGATTTTCAACCAGTGTGCTGCAAGAAATTTTAAAAGATGCAACACCTGATGGTTTAGTGAGGGACAACTGACCTCTTTTCCCTTAGACTGTCAAATAAAAAAATGACAACAGCCAACAAAACAATAGTCATCTGGTGTGAAGGAATCAAAATTATACCTATGTTTTTTTTTGTCAGATCAGCAAAATATATATATATTTTTTGGTGTGCTCTAGAATTTTAATAATTAGTTTGTGTGTGCCATGAGATGAACAATGTTGAAAATCACTGGTCTACCTATTCTAGTTTGCCCTCAAATCAGAATCCAAGTGCACCCTCCTAAAATCCAAGTTTTGGATGAAATTTGAGGGTTGAGTGGAGTGCTCAGTGAAGAGAAAACAAGAGGTAAGTGCAGGTAGATGCTTGGTTAGAACAGGGCTTTGGCACAAGGGTCAACTCTCCTGGCTGTAAGGTCATCTGCCTGTGATCTGAGGTGGCATTTGTCCATTTACAAGTGGCAAGAAGGACAGCAGCTGCTGACTATCCCTGGGGATACCCCCGGGGCCTTGGTATCCTTTTGTTCAGATATCCACCCCCACTGGGAATGCCTATATGCCAGGCCTAGGGCTACAAAGTCCTCTGCATTTAAAGTGAGGTCTAGATTTTTCGTTATTTTGTTTATAAAAAAGGGTTATCTTATTAAAATAAACTTATCTGTGCACAATGATCAAGATACTGAAAGCACATCCATTATGCCAACTTCATTTGGTCTTTACTCTGTAGATCCTATTTTCAAAGTCCTTACTGGAAAGATTTTACCATCTTGTAATAAAATTATTTCTAAAGCTTCATAATCCTTGCTGTCTTCTGATCATGCTAATGCAGATTAAATATATTTCTCTATAAAGAATGGATTGACATTTTTATGTAAATGATTCATAATTTTAAACATGTTTTGAATATTCAAAAAAGTCACTCCCCTTTAGTGCTCTCCTTTTATTTCCCCCAGTATTTTCCAAAGTTCTTACACTGAACCATATGCATTTATTAAAGTTCCCAATTTCTTAGGATGCTTTTCTCCCCTAACTAGAAATTATGTATCTGCCATAAATTTTGCCCTTCAGTAAACCTGAGGAAATTATTTTAACAATTTAACAGAATAATCAGTAAAAGTAAGTCGTTCGTTCTCTTGCATCACCCCATGTTCTATATTTCAAAGGATACGAAGGCTCCAAGTATAAAAAGAGCATTAAAGATATGATTCTGGAATGTGAACAACGCCAGGCCCATGTAACAGAAGATGACATTCTCAGCCAAGAAGTTCATAAATTCAAACAACTGAAAACAAAACAGAAACCAAAACCATTAATTATGACTCAGGTTTGAATCCACTTAGTAACCTGTACCATATATGATGATTGGATGATTCTCCTTTATCTAGAAAGGAGTCCCTTTTGCATTGCGCTTAGCTTTTGCAGGCTAGCTGAATCTACTGTGGCTCTCTACCCAGTGACAATGCCACAGCCATGTGAACATCCCATTCTCCTTTCCAACTGCCAGGCTGCCAGAGATACCCCTGGGTAATCTTAGCCAGCATGGATCTCCCATGGAACAGCTCCTACTGTGGTGATGAATATTCTGTTATAGAAATCGAAACTACATGATTGTTTAAGATGCACTGTAGTAAACAACGATTGTTTAGATCCTTCCACACATCACTCAGTAGGTGCCCTTGAGTTTCCAGAAACTGAAAAAAAACAAAAACTTCAGCTAAATTATTCTCCTCTGGCAGGCAGGAAGGGCAAACTCGGAAAACTTGGAAACTTGTAATAAGCATGAATGTCAATTATAGTTCAACATTAGAATGATCAGAAAGTATATTTTAAACTTCAGACAATGAGACTCATTAAGTTGACTGATGTAGTGATATCCATTAAATGCCTACAATTTCAAGCTGGTTAAAAAAAAAAAAAGATGATTAATCCCAGGGATCAGTTTAAACAGCAAGAACACAATAGATATGTCAAATTCAGTCAGAGGCATGGGGTAATAACAACTATACTGAAAAATGCTCCCCAGAATTATTCTTAGACCATTAACTAAACAATTTAAGTTTAACATGAAAAAATGTTCTCCTACTTTCAGATTAGAAGCAAAAAGGAAATGTGTCCAGGAGCTATAAAAGAGGCACATTTAGAAGAGACTTTAGTTTATATTCCAGACTTTTCATCTGAAAGTTCCTAAAACTTCATTCTCAGAGCTAAACAACTCTGGAAGCCTTTCTCTTGGCTTTTTAAGAACTCATTTTATTTTCATGTAATGTGTTTACAGTGCTATAAATAATGCCCAATACTTGTTTACTGACAGCTGACAGGAAGACAGAACTTGTCAGAAACGGTATTTAAAGGCAATAGAAAGAGTGGATTAAAAAAGACACAGTTCCTTTGGTGCAAGATAGTATTTCTGCAAAGGCAGCAATTGTCCGTTATCTGAGCGCTCGTTTTACATCCTAGGAAAGCTCATCTAAACAAACTCTGCCACCCAAATAACCACGGAACACTCAAGAACATGGGGGGAAATACGGGGGATGGGGAACACTTTTCAACCTCATGAAAGCTTTACTTTTCCAAAAGTGATTTGGCTGTTTTGATCTGCTCAGTCTGCCATAACAAAATAAAAAAAACAGGCTGGCTTAAAACACAGAAATTTATTTGTCCCAGCTCTGGAGGTTGGGATATCTAAGATCAAGGTACAGGATGATCTAGTCCTAGGGAGGACCCTCTTTCTGGTTTGCAAACAGTGGCCTGCTTGCTGTGTCCTTCCATAGTGGAGAGAAAGATCACCTCTCTCCTGTCTCTTCTTACAAGGGCATTAGTCCCATTCATGAGGGCTCCATTCTCTTGGCCTAATCACCTCCCAAAAGCCCCACCTCTAAATACCATCACAGCGTGGGTGAGGACTGCTTCTTCTGAATTGGTGGGCGGGGCACAAACATTCAGTTCAGAGCTGCTATCTTGTTTTTAACATTTGTAAATACATGTCAAGGTTAAATTCATAGAGCCTCTTCCCCTGTGTTATTTTACTCTAGATGGGACATTTTTCCAATTAGGATCCATTCAATATCGTCTCGGTGACCACTCTCTGATTTCCCTTTGGGGTTAATCTTTTTCCCCCACTGTCAGCCCCCAGATTGATGCCTCCATAGCTCAGAGATGGACTATGTGATTTGGGACTAAATGACTCTAATCAAAGCATTTCTCCAGCCAGCATGCTTGATTCAGAATGGATGTGATGCATTGTGAGCCAAAGAAATACAATGAGGCCTTTGCTGGGAACGTTGGGACAAAGACTCCCACCTTTTCAGTGTATGACAATTCAGTTGAGTGCAGGCTAAGGGAGCTGCTGTTAGCCATCTTCATCTGGGGAAACAACCATCTGAGAGAGAAGCCATATCCTGATGACACTATTTAATACTCTGTGTTCATCATCTCCCAAAGCAAAATCTACTCTTGGAGTTTTTAATTAAAGAGACCAAGAAATCACTTTTTGATTGGAGTTGTGGTTTCCGTCGCTCAAAATGCTACAGACTGCTTTATAGTCCTGCACCAGTTTAACAAAACAAAACAAAATACCTCTCTGGCTCAACAGAGATGATAAACAAAAGGGTGTATGGTCAACTTTTTTGACTTTTTTTCAGTTAGTAGCAAAGTCTGTTATCCCTACCCACTCCCACCATCCAATTTTAATCTATTTCTCACCTTAAAAGTGGAAATAAGTATATAAGAAAAATCAGAGTTTTGTTTTGTTTTCCCTATTGGTTGTTTAGATGTGATGAAAATTTGTCCTATACATTTTACATGGAAACCCATGATATTAAATATTTGTCTTAGATGTTTTCTTCCTTTGGATTACTCAGAGTTTTAATTCTATTTATTCATTTAATTTATTGAAATCTAACACTGACTAAAATTTCAAGTAACTGCGTATACATTGTATAAAACTTTGATGTTCCATTTAGGTCCACTTGTGGACCTGCTCTTTGTTTCAGTATCTAGTCCTGTACCAATACCACACTCTTTTTAATGACTGTACATCCATAATACATTGTAACATTTCATAGATATAGATTGTTCCCATACTCTATCTTCTTCAGAATTTTCCTGGTTATTTTTGCATGTTTAAAACTGTTTTTACTGATGCTTAATTACTCAGAAAAGAGTATAACTCATATCCTTATAGTTTAAGATTTATAAAGGGAATATTACTAGCACCCAGGAATTACTCCTGCCCCTCTTTCTACTTACACCTCCAAACTCAATGCAATTACATACTATTAACTCTTCATCATCACAAGTGAGCTTTCTTTGTTTGTTTATAAATGGAATCAGAGAATATGTAGTATATCATATTTGTCATCTTTTGCTCAGCATTGTTTGTGAGGTTATTCATGTTGTATGTAGAAGTAGCTTATGTTTTTATTATATAAATATATCATTATTTATTCATTCTACTAATGACATTCATTTGAGTTGTTTCCAGTTTCGGGCTGTGACAAAATTTTGCGGCTGTGACTACAGGCTCGCATTTCCATGGAATAGTTGCAACATGGTGCCCAGCAGTTTCCTAAAGTGATAGCACCAGTTTGCACTCCCATCAGCAGTTTCGGCTGAGTCACATTTTTTGCCAACACTGGGTTTGAGGGCTGTTTTTCAAATACACACTTTTGCCTCTTGACATTGCCATTTGAATTTAGGAATCTGTCTATTTGCACAAAAATCAACCACTTGCATTTTAGTTGGAATTGCCTTCAATGTATAGATGAATTTAGGTAGAATGTTCATCTTTATAGTATTAAAACAGCATCCATGAACATCATATATTCTTATAACTATTTTGATTTTCTTTAATTTCTCTCAGTAATTTCTTATAAAAATTGTGTATCTTCTATTAGATTTATTTTTAGATATTTGATGTCTTTTCGTTGCTATTGTAAATGGCATTCTTTTCAAAGTTTTTTTCTAGTTGTTTGTTGCTAGATACACATATACAATTGGTTTCTTATTGATTTTGTATTCAGGGCCTTACCAAATTTATTTAATAATTCTTATAATTCATAATCATGTTGTTTACAAATATAGTTTGGCCTTTTCCTGTCCAGTCATTATTCATTTTGCATGTTACACTTGTTAGAGGATACAGAGCAGGAAAGAAGTGTGGGAGAGCTTCTTCACCTTACTCCCAACCTCAAAGGGAAAACTTTCTCTGCTAACTTCATAGAAACTCTTTAACAGATTAATGACATTCCCTTCTATTCCTTTTTAGAATATGGACTTAATTTTCTAATATTGTCTTCAGGACTTTTGTGTCTATATGACAAAAGACTGGCTTATAATTCTCCTTTCTTATTTAGTGTTTACCAGGTTGTACTGTTAAAGCTACTGATGTTTCATGAAGCAGGTTCCTGTTCTCTTCCTTAAATGTTTAGAAGAATTCCGGGCTTGGAATCTTCTTTACGGAAACTTTTTTTTTTTTAACTACGGATACAATTATTCTAATAGATATAGCATTAGTCAGATTTTCTATATATTTCTATATTAGTCTTAGAAAGTTATGTCTGTCGTTCATCTAAATTTTTATATTTACTGCATACAGTTGTTCGTGAGATCTTCGATATCTTTGCTTCTGTGTTTATATCTCCCCCGCACCCTAGTATTGGCAATTTGTGTATTTTCTTTGTGATAAATCTTGTTTGAGTTACCAATTTTGTGAGTGTTTCCAAGAAGCAACTTTGGCTGTGTTGATTTTTCTATGTTGTGCTCTTTCTATTTCATTAATTTCTCCATTATCTTTATTATTTTCAGTCTTCAACATACTTTAGCTTTAATTTGTTTTTATTTAGTATTTTGGTCCTTTAAGTCTTGGTTGCCATGGTTGCTTTGTCAATTCCTTTGAACACTTGCTTTTCTGTATTTTATCCAGCTTTTCTAGCTGCTTCCTAAGAGAGAATTGTTCTGACATTGGCTATCCTCATAGCTAACTATTGCCTATTTATTTTTCTGAGTGAATAATCATTTTGTCAATTTTCCACCCAGATTTTTATATTTTATTTTGTAACACATAGCATATCAATTTAGAGAGAAAGGACAATTTTATAATATTGTTTGGGGAAAAGATACATTGTTTAGAAGATTACATAAAATGTTGGCTAGTTTGGGGAAAATAATAACCAAAACTGAAGCTGAATTTCTAACTTGCTCCTTATATGCAAATAAATTGCAGCAGACTAAAGAGCAGAAATGGAAAAACAAAACCCACTTATGAATATATTTTAAAAAACA